CTGGCAAATCAGGCCTGGCCACAGTCAGCCCCGTCTCATCCCTCCATCTCTCCACCCCTCCATCCCTCCATCATCCCTCCATCCCTCCATCCCTCCATCATCCCTCCATCCCTCCATCCCTCCATCATCCCTCCATCATCCCTCCATCACCCATCCCTCCACTATCCCTTCATCCCTCCATCCCTATATCTCTCCATCATCCCTCCATCCCTCCATCTTCCTTCCATCCCTCCCTTCATTGTTCCATCATCCCTCCATCCCTCCATCTCTCCATCATCCTTCATCATCCCTCATCCCTCTATTATCCCTCCATCATCCCATCATCACTTCATCATCCCTACATCCTTTTTTCTCTCCATCATCCCTTCATCATCCCTACATCCCTCCATCTCTCCACCCCTCCATCCCTCCACCCCTCCATCCCTCCATCATCCTTCCATCCCTCCATCATCCCTCCATGCCTCTGTCCTTCCACTCCTCCATCCCACCATCTCTCTATCCTTCCACTCCTCCATCCCTCCATCCCTCTATTCTTCCACTCCACTCCTCCATCCCTCATCCCTCCATCATCCCTCATCCCTCCATCCTTCTACCCCTAGATGAAGAACAAGTTCCTGGCCCGCAGGTTTAAGGTCAGTCTTCTGAAGGGCCAGGGGCTGCAGGGGCGGGGAGGGACGGGTGTCAGGAGGGCCCTCCCAAAGGCAAAGGAATTAAAGAACAGCAACCCCTCCGCATGTAGCTGGGTCACACGGCCATGAAGCAGTCAGCAAGTCCATCGACTAACAATGGTGGATCCTTGCTCAGGCACTGGCCCCACTGGGGAGTATCTGCCTCCTTGGGGTGATGAGGTACAGAGAACCCAGCTTGGTGACAGCTCCAAGGGTTGGCCACCACCAGGCCAGGGCGGGCGGCAGATGGCAGTACGTCTCCTTTCCCTCCTTTCTGCCGGGAGCCTTGGCATGGGGCGGGCGCTGGTGGAGGACGGAGGGTAGCCGTTCAGGGGGAGGGGCCGGGCCGACGCTGCCCCCTATCCCCAGCTGCTGGAGCAGGCGCTGGTCATTGAGGAGCAGCTCCGGAGGGCCGCGTACCTGAACATGACCCAGGACCCCAACCACCCCGCCATGGCCCTCAACGCCCGCCTGGCTGAAGTGGAGTGCCTTGCCGAGAGCCACCAGCACCTGTCCAAGGAGTCCCTTGCTGGGAACAAGCCTGCCAATGCCGTCCTGCACAAGGGTGAGCGAGCCCTGCCCCCCGCGGGGTGGCCCCCGCAACCTTCCTCCTGCCCAGCCAGTGCTCTTGGCTGTAGATGAGGGCGCTGATGGGGTAGGGGCTGGGGACAGATGTCAGCCCAGAGGGCGGTGGACTTCTGGGCCAAGATGGGACAGTCCTATCATCAGATCCCTCATCGCCCCGGAGGGAAACTGAGGCTGCTTGCTTCTCCAGCCTGTTCCTCAAGCCTGCTCTGTGCAGGCCCTGACCCAGGCTAGTGACACACAAAACCATGAAACTGTAAAGGCCTCTGAGTCCTGACAGCGTGCCTTAAATGCATTGTGTCTTTAGCCCGGGTGATACCCATCAGCCTGGAGCCTTCTCATTGGCCCTGTGCGTGTTGGGGAAGTAGTTTGCCCAAGATCTCCCGCGATTCAGACCTTTGGTGCTGGCTGCACATCTCTGCCTGTGGTCACGGGGCACAGTTCTGCCTTCGGGGCTCCCAGCTGGCTGGGGGAGGGAGTGGCCCTGTGGTGAGAGTTGCTGGACCCATCCCCGTGCCTTGCAGCCCTCCTTGGTGTACTCCGACCCTGTGCCTAGCGGGGCCTGGGGCTGCAGGCCTCCCTGAGGACTCTTAGGAGGGAAGCTTCTGGCTGGCTCATCTGCAGCCCGTGGCCCCTGCCCAGCCCAGAGGGGCTCCTGGGAGGAGTTCTTTGGAAGCTTCTGCTGTGTCCCCCACTTGGCAATGCTGCCTGGCAGCTTGGGAGGGCCTGGTGCAGAGCACCTCCTGGTGCCCAGTTCTGGGCGAGTGCAGTCATACACCCTTGCAAATAAGACCCAGCTCTCAGGCTGCCTCCCCTGGCATAGCTCTTCATCCCTCCATCCCTCCATCATCCCTCCATGCCTCTGTCCTTCCACCCCTCCATCCCTCCGTTCCTCTGTTCTTTCACCCCTCCATCCCTCATCCTTCCATCATCCCTCATCCCTCCATTCCTCTATTCTTTCACCCCTCCATCCCTCATCCCTCCATCATCCCTCATCCCTCCATCCTTCCACACCTCCATCCTTCCATCCCTCCATCATTCCTCCATGCCTCCGTCCTTCCATCCCTCCATCTCTCCATCATTCCTCTGTTCCTTCATCATCCCTCCATTCCTCCATCCTTCCACTCCTTCATCCTTCTATCCCTCCATCGTCCCTCCATATCTCTGTCCTTCCATCCTTCCATCCCTCCATCATCCCTCCATGCCTCTGTCCTTCCACTCCTCCATCCCTCCATCCCTCTATCCTTCCACTCCACTCCTCC